TTCAACTGCACAATCACCATCATTGTTCTTTTTTGGGAAATAATTGCATTTAGCTTTCCTAAGCTTTTTATCTACCCAAACTTCCTCCCCTTTGTCATTGATTGTCTTCACTTTTTTCGTCACATAGTATGTTATAAAATGCTCCCAAACCCAACTACGCTTTCTTGAATCAGAGTTACTTACTTGTGCATCTTCTTCACCTTCAGATTCATTTCCATAATTTTCTGGGTCACCTTCAACTTTTTCTTCATTTTCTAGGTCAATTTCTATTGCCTTATCCTTCGGCTTCTCAAAGGAGTCACCTGTAGAAGAATGAGCAACCCAACTATGTTTGCTGGATTCTTCAAACTTGACTGAAACATAAAAGGCTTTTTAGCCAAAATGATCGCTGAGATTTGCATAACACATCACTTTGGTCCCTGAGATTGAAAATCAATAGAAATGGTCCTTGAGATTGTCCACCATCCATTATTTTGGTTATTCCGTTAAAAACTTCGTTAAGTGTTCCGGAGCTTTTGGCTGGAAGTTTGGGCAATTTTCAAAGCTTCGTAACTCAATCGTTTCTTAACTAAATTCAATCCATAATATATCAAAATGAAGATAGAAAAGTGTAGAACAAGATTATATCTATTTAGAAGCCCAATGGTTGTTGGAGATGGCCGAAAAAAAGCCTGAAAGGTGACTGGTCCGAGGGAAAACTGGAAAACATCGCTGGAAACTAGATAAACTTTAAACATTCATAACTTCTTCAATACTCAACGAAATTGAGTGATTCAAAAATGAAAATCATACTTCTCAACGAGATGAAGAGAATGATACCTTTCTCGAGACCAAGACAACCACTTTTGAGCCGTTTTCTGGTCAAACCACGGCAATTTAGCCATCGGGAAAGGTATCATTCTCTTCATCTCATTGAGAAGTATGATTTTTGTTTTTGAATCACTCGATTTTGTTGAGTATTGAAGAAGTTATGAAGGTCTAAAGTTTACGCAATTTTCGCGCGAGTTTTCCAGTTTTCCTGCAGGCCAGTCACATTTCAGGCTTTTTTCTGGCCATCTTTGGTAACCATTGGGCTTCCAAATAGGTATAATCTTATTCTACACTTTCCTATCTTCTTTTTGACATATTATGGATCGAATTTGGTTAAGAAATGATTATGTTATGAAGCTTTTAAAATTGCCCAAACTTTTGGCCAAGAGCTCTGGGATATTTAACAGAGTTTATAACGGAATGACCAAAATAATGGATGGTGGACAATCTCAGGGACCATTTCTATTGATTTTCAATCTCAGGAACCAAAGTGATGTGTTATACAAATCTAATGGACCGTTTTAACTAAAAAGCCAACATAAAATGAAAGTAAGCAACAACAACAATTAACAACAGTTAAAAGAAATATTTAACAACAAGCACAACAACTAACAACAATTAACATCAACAACAACAAGCAACGTAAATAATCAGTAACATATATATGGTAATGGATGTATAGAAATTATTTATACACAAGCAAGAAGCAACAACCAACCATTAAAAGCAAGCAACAATTAATAGCAAGTACAAATTATTTATGGATGTGTAGAATCTCTCCCCTAATTCATTTTGATTAGCGGCAAACACATGCTATCTTGCTAACTAATTAGTGTCTCACTTTGAAATCAACAATTAACATCAACATCAATGGACAAAAATATTCTAACTTTATATTCTTTTGCAATTCACATTTATCATTTCGTAGTCATATATTCACTCATATTACATTTGATCCAAGTAAAAATAAAATTCCCCTGACATATAAGTGCAATTATTTTTAGGATTTTATGGGAATACCAATCAACAACATTCTGACATTCTGATGTTCATGAACAAAGAAAAATTAAAGACTAACCAACGAAAAACCAAATCCCCTTTTGATTCAAAACCCAACCCTAAACCTAAAACTAAAATTAATCTCAAATATGTGAGTAAATTTAAATAAAACAAGTTATAAATCATAGTTCTTACCATATTAACATTGTGAACTTTAGAGGCTAGGAGCTGGAATGAAGTGAAGGGGAGACCAAGAGAGAGAGAGAGAGAGAGAGAGTTTGGGGTTGCAAATTTCCGGAGTTAGACTGAAGAGTGTGGAGAGTTAAAATGAAAAGGAAGGTTCAAATTGATTCGCGAATATAGTTTGAAGACTGAAATGGAATGATGCGATTTGTGAATTTTTGGAGAACGGAGACCGAGATAGAGAGTAGATGAAGAATCAATAAAGTTGAGCAGCAAATGAGAAATAGTATAGACTAAAAGAAAGAAAAGAAAGAGTTTATGTGGCCATGTTATGATGTGGTTGAGTCCATACTAAATGTATAGACTCAATGAAACAACCAATTAGAATTTAACATTTAATAAAGTTATGCGGTTTCGTTTCTATTTTAGATGGCCGGAACCGAAACCAAACCGTTTTTTCTTCATTCAGTTTGGTTTCAAACCGAAACTGTTTTGAAACCCTAAAACTAAACTGTTCGGTGCAGTTGGATTTCGTTTGTGTTTCTGTTTCGGTTTTCAGGTTCAAGTGCTCACCCTTACTATGCATGGAGAGTCTCGGTCTAAATATAGTTTTTGGGGCTGACATGGGCTACATGCCCTAAAACTTTTTTTTATTTGCTGGGCTATTGTCCAAAATAGTAAAAACGAGCTAAGATAACCTAACTAAAAAAGCAACATGGGTTATTGTTGTTGTTATACTGTAAGCTAGAGTGGTTGCAAACCATGATTCTGTGGTAAAAAGGGAAACATGCCCAATTTGGGCTTAGGTCAGGCAGAACCCGATGGTTAATCCGCTTTAGGAAGCACATGCCTCGGGTTCATTTGGTAAGCACTAACCAAATTTGAATGCCTTACTCGGTATTCCCCAATTGAGGAATTAGAGTTTTCTTCGATATACCTCAGCCGAAGTTGGGTGTGTCTCACTCAGCACACTACAGTCGAAGTTGGGTGTATTCTTCTTTCGTCGAAAAAACTAGACTCGCCATTATAGGTGGTTTCTGGGGTAGTAAGGTCGAGAGTTAAGATTGAGACCGTCATCCTCATCAGGGAGGGTGGTTTTAGGCAAACTTATGGCCACATCATTGTGGGGTTTCAAGATCAATCGGGTTTCAACGGAACCCGTTCGTGAAATCGTCGTTGATTTGAACTACCATAGCTTCGACCTAATTTAGGTCGTCATCTAACCATTCACAAGAAAACATGGTGAACATGAGTGCTTCAAGAGTTGGGCTTTGGTTCCATCGAAGTGTAGATGAGGCGATAAAAAAAAACGTCAACGACGCTGTTTCTATGGGTGTTGTTGCCATGAGTTGCTAGCTTTATTGGCTCGACGACTTGGCTGAGCAGCGACTTCCAACTGCAGCTTGACTGCGATTTTAGGTTTTTCCTTTTTCTTATTCTTTTCTTTTCACAAAATCATCAAATTCACAAGTAGTAATGTATAATAATGCGAACACAATTTAAGCAAAGTTTATAATTCAAAAGTGTAAAAGTTAGGTTCTATACCAAATCTACTATGAACTCACACAATTATAGATTTCATAGGATTCTATACCAAATCTACTACATATTTACATAATTATATCATATAAAATATCTTCACAGCAATCTTTTAATTTAGGGAATTGTTATTGGTACTTCAAAATTCTCATTTTACACTACGTATTTTCTATAGAAAGAAAAAAAAACACTTGAAAGAAGTGCAAAATGAAATTTTTGGATTGCCAATAACAGTTCTTTTAACTTATTGTGTTATGTTTCTATTTATTTCAAAAATTGTACCTTTGTACCCCTATACTAAAACACAAAAATGGAACCACCCATTGGCACTTGAGAATATACCTGACAATGTCTTACACAACCTATTAGCACGACACGTAAATGACACGAAAATAACGGGTTTCGAGTCGACACAATAACTAATCAAGTCACACGATAAGAACCTGTTAATAATGGGTCCTTAATAGGTTTACACGAGAGTGACGCGATAACCCGTTTCAACACGTTGAGAAAAAAATTATGTTGATGATTTTAATGTTTTAAACTACTTAAAAAAGCTTACTATAAAATACAATAACTATAGTGTATATGTATATATTTTATATTAAAATATGTATTATTGTTTTATTATTCTATATAAATTTAAAAAATTTAAGTTTTATTATACTATAGGCAAGGAGTGAGATTAAAAAAATTATAAAATACATTAAAAGTAAAAATATCAAGTCATTTAAAAATAGCAAACACATTAAAAAAATATAATAATTAATTTACAAGTGCAAAATATGTGAAATAATATGCAAACACTCGTAATCGCATCATCTAACCTGTGAGGATAGTACATCACCGTTTCAAATTTTAAAACTATACAAACCCTCATGAATAGTATTTTTATGGGAGTTCAAATAAACAAATATCAGTTCTCTATGAAAATTGAATGGTTTTATTGTAAAAAACATGCAAGGTTTCCTCAACCTCGAAACACAACTCCTTTCATTTTGCACATTCTTGAACATTTGGTATTTTGTAACAATGTACTAATGTTTTTTCATTAAACTCTTATTTTGGGGCATGTAATACTTAAAAGACAAATGTTGTTCTTATGTTTTGAAGTAATATTTATGTGCTAATGTGATATACATATACAAATTTAGTATTATGTTTTCAATTTTTTTTGGGTGAAATTATGTTGTTCATTTTTATTATTTATTAATTTAAAATATATTTTCCTTAACGGATAACATATTAGATTATAATACCTGATAATATTAACAGTTCGATTTGGAGTCTGGTCATATTACCTGTTTACTTTAATAGGTGTTAAACGACATAACCCGTTAAGGCATCGGGTATGTTGTGAAAATGATACGAACATGGAAAATACTATATGAATGTCATATCTACTTCTCAAGGGCAAAATGGTCATAAACGAAAAGATTTCAAATGACGTTTTCATCCCCCACAATGCAGCAGCACGCAACATCACACTGTAGCAATAGAATCTCAAAAGCTTCACGCCTCAGCATTTCTCCTGCCCTTTGCGTCCCTCATTTTCCTCCGAAAATTTCTCGCGGGCCATGATTTCCGTGCGAGGACTGAAGTAAAAGCCCTAGCATTCTCTGATCATCCTAGGACAAAAAAATTTATGGCCTAAGATTTTCATGCAGGTCAGTCAAAATCTCTCGATATTGTTCTAATTTTTGTGGAAATTTTGCTTAATTGTGTACTAGTTTTGGATTGAAATTGGAACTGAAATTGTTCTTGTTAGGGTTTGGGGTTTTGGTTTGGATTATATGGTTTGATATGAAAAATCAAGGTGTTAAAGGTGGGGAATTTCTGGGTTGGTGTAGTTTGTGGCAGGAGATATGCGTTTATAGGGTCATGAGCTATGGCATTGTACTATTAGGATCTGAATCTGCTTCTTTTGAATTTGACCTCTTATATTAGCTGTTGTTTGGTAAGCGATAGGCTAGAGCGAGTTGGGATTAAGGTGCTTAGTTCACACATGAGATTGGTGTGATTTGGGTATGAACATACGGTCACACGTCAGGCGAATGCATGCTTTTGCTTAAGTAGCTGTGATTATCCTTTTTGAAGTGTTTTTATTTTGGTTCAAGGTGCATTGTCAGCTTTATGTATTGCCTAGCTTAAGGGACTGGCATAGTGGCGTGCGTGCTTTTGCTTTAGCAGCTGTGATCAGCCTTTCTGGAGTGCTTTCTATTTCGGGTCAAGGCGCATTGATAGCTTTGTGTGTTGCCTAGCTTAAGGGAATGGCAAAGTGCTGTACCTTCTCCTCTGGAATCTGAACTGATTGACATTGCCGCAGAGAGAATACCATCATTGCCTGTTAGGTAATTGCAATAGTACACTGAGTGGTTGATATAGAAACTGGTGGGGAGGCTGGTTTGATGATATCACTGGTTAGGCCATTTAGGGTTTATGAGAGGAGATGGAAGAAGAGATGAAGCGCTCACATTTTTGCAGTTATGGTACATATTTTATCAGCATTTTAGAAGTCTCCGACATTTAAAGTAGTGCTTTTCCAAATATTCAGGGTTCAAGAAATACTTTGTTAGGACATGCGTCAATTCGAAGTTATAATTGTGATAATGTAGGCCTTTCAGGTTGTCTAAGGTTATCCAATGAGGTTCAAAGTATCTATTGTTTTCTTTTGGCTTACTATCCGTCGATTAGTCTCTCACTTTTTTTATTAAATTGTGTTTCTCACCAATAAAGAGGAACTTCTAGTGGTGTTTATATGTTCAGTAAGTATTAATATACTCTAACCTAAAATACTGTTTGATGGTGTAGATGTTAGATATTCCTGTTTGATGTCACACTATTGTGCTTTACAGATGTCCTCACTCAAAAATATCTGGACATTTTTCCATTGATATACAGGTATAATTATGGCACATGATACACGATCTAGTCGGAAAATGAAGGATGATGAGGATAGTAAGTCAAAAGGGAGGCAAATCAGTAGTAAAGGATCAAGTACTTCAGGTTCTGGAGCATCGGATACATCTGGATTAAGGAGGTCTGCTAGAGAAACATCGTTGAAGAAAAACATAACTTTGGGCCCTTCTATTACTAGGAAGTCTGAAAGACTCGATAAAAAAATTTCTGAAACTCCTCCATTCAAGAGGAAATCCGAGAGATTTGAGAAGAAGTTGACTCCAACTCCACCGAGGATTTCTGATAGAGTCAAGAATCACTCATCAAATTCTTCTGGGTCTAAAAATTCAGAGAAAAGCTCAGGTTCATCATTGATGAAGCGGAAAAGGGAACAAAAAGAGAAGAATGTAAAAGAATTGACAGAGGCAACTCGAGAAGTTAGCAAAAGTGTAGGATCTGGCTGTGTGAAGAACAAAATAAGAAATGCTCAAGCTTATAAGGCATTTTTCATGAAACAAAGAAAGAAGCTTAGAGCACAAGGTAACTGAGTTTTGGCTTTTCTCCCAAGAGTGATTAATTTATTGTTCATGTTTTCTTTTTCGTTGTTGTTTGTGTTTTAAACGGTAGTATTGATTATTCAATACATTGCTCATTCTTTTCTTCTTGAATATTAGGACATAGCGAGGAGCAGAGCAGGCAGAATAAAGTTTCTGAGGGAGGCGGCAATGATTGTCGAGGCACGGTTGATGGGCTTGGTAAAGGCATTGAAGCAGTGGAATCTGATTCCACTGTAAATAAATTTTCAAATGAAACAGTGGAAGATAATCAGGGAGGGGGCTTGTCCCACTCAAGCCCAAGGCCTAGCTGCATGGAGGAAGCTTCTGAGTTTGGAAATGGCGATGGCTTAGAAATTTGTGGTCAACAACCACTGGCATCAGTCCTATAATGCCATGACGAAAGAGATCAGTGATGCACCTGCAAGGGTACGTGTGTATTGCCCTGGTGAGGAACAATTGAAGATGCCAGAGTTGATAGGTCCTACAGTCAATGGAAGTATAGATGATCTCCACATGAGCTTGAAAACGGGTCATTGTGTTACACTCTCAAAGAGAAAAAGGAACATGAAGGATGAGGGTTCTGATTCTTCTGCAGTTAATGGAAGTAAAGATGTCTGCACCTTGATTGCTGATGCTGTCTCCTCATTGCCATCTGGGTCCACAACGGATGCTTCTGTTGGAACTTGCGGTGCATGTTTGAAACGACAAAGGTATTCCTTTGCACAAAATAATCGTATTTTCTTCTTATCTGTTGGTGCTGGTTTCCAAAAGAAATTATATCTACTGGCCATTGAATTAATTTAGTCTGTGTTAGTCCACTGATTTACTTGGAGGCCCAGAGTATTAAAACACCCTTTCACATTTATTACACTTACCATCTTTCCACTTTAGAATCTGTATTTCTGGAATTTACATCCCAGCTACTTCAAGTTTAGATATGGTTGCACATATCCTCCTCTAGAAAGGAGTCAACTAACAGGTAAAGTGTAATCATGAAACAACTACAACAACTAACAGTGTTAAAATATTGTTTGGTTGCTGTTGAATTTATAACTTGCATAATAAAGTGGAGTTTGAGTAAAACTCTCAATATTTTGACAAAAAGAGCTCATTAACACTTGAGCTCATCAGACTTCACCGTTCCTCTCTTTCAAAGGCCTCACATTCCTAATTTCCCAGACATATTGCAGGAATATAAGATTCTTAAGAAAGATTTAAGAGAGAGATAGCACACATTTTATAGAGAGAATATCTCTTGCTACACTGTTTTTTGCTTTCAGTATTTGCTACAAAACTGGTTAAAGTTTATGGTTTGTTTCCTCCCCTTGCGAGATTTTGGGTAATCTTGAATCCCTCTCAAGTTGTTCTGTTCATGGTCTAAGATCAGAGAATTGGGTCTTCTTTTTGCCATCTTTCTTTCTGGGTTTGCTTTAAAAAATTTGTTTGGGAAGAAAGAAAAAAGATAAAGGAGACCAAAAGCTCTGACAAATGATGTAAAATGTGTTATTTTGACTTGGTATGGAAGTAGACTCCTTGTCCCCTGTTTGTAAAATGTCTCTTTTCAGAATATAAAAGCATGGAAAGCAAGCTCCTCCTATTGTTTGTATCTCTTTGGGTTCCTTCCTATAGTTTGTTTACTTCTAAAATTGGATGGAAGACAAGTTAGGTAAAAATAATTGGTAAAGAGGAGTAAACCCACAAGTGTGGCAATACTTTTAGCTGCTGTGATGATAATAATGGGTTTGAAGCATTAGTTGATCCTCTTCCGAGAAAGCTAAGGAAAAAGGTACTAAGAAAGAGACTCAGTGAGAATCAGGAGACTCAGGACAATAATAAAGGCAGAGATCTGGAGTATTTTGGACACTGTTGTGTATGTCATTGTCCGCATAAGTGTTCCTTGTAAACTCTTGTCTGAAATCTGTAAAGGAACTAAAGTTCTATCATGTTATACTGGCCAAATTACAGATGGAAACCAACCGCAAACAAATTCAGTTTTCTATCTAAATTAATTGCAGTAAAGAATTGGCTCGTGAGTACGTATCAACTATAAAGCTAATGCAAGGAGTGGCGAATCACATTCCCCTTTTAGAATGTCTTTGAACCATTGGTTAAACTTGAGTTGAATCTGACTTCCGTTTGAATATTATATATTTTATAAATTTTTTACCTGGGGATACATTTATTGTGGGCTAGGTGATTCTTGCACTATAGGCAGGAGCTGTGCAGACAGAAAAATTTCCACTTATTTTTCTCCCCTCTTTGTGGCTGCCTGAAAGGGCAACTAAGGTGTTTGGACGTGAGAATGAGTGCGGTGTCTTAATTTGTTTGGGTTTATCTGTCAAGATCGCTTCTTGTGTCCCTTGATTTATTGCTGTCTCCTACATTACTGCTGATTGAAGTTTCGAGGTTATACTTTTTTACTAAATGTAACTTCATTTTCCTTAATCCCCACTTGATGGTACTTTGCAACGAATTGCTGTTGGCTACTGGTTATAAGGGTCAACTGAAATGGAATCTCATCTTTTAAACACAGGCTGATCACAGAACCATTTTTACATGGTGTGATATTTTTATGAGTATATATACTTAGCTATTGTCTTAGATTTTGTAAATGTTGAGCAATCATGGTACTCTTATAACATTCTGATTTTGAAAGTTTTGACTGTATCTCATGAGCTATTGTCTTAGATTTTGTAAATGTTGAGCAATCATGGTACTCTTATAACATTCTGATTTTGAAAGTGTGACTGTATCTCATGTGATATTTTCAGGGTGGAAAATGATCCAACGAAGCTGGAGATTTACTCTTGCAGCACAAAATTAAATCAGGAGTTATATAGTACATCAGCAACTGAGGTTGGCGCAACCTTCTTGCTCTTTTACTGCTTTCAAAATCCATTGTTGAGTTCCATCTTATTTGAGTTTGTTTCTCTCAGAGAATGAACATATTTCTCTTTATGGCCTGCCACATTTTTTTCTTGGTTTCCAGTGCTTATATTATGGTAGTTGTACTGTGGTTCGCTTTAATCTCTCTCTTCTTTCTGGTGATGTGTCTCGTTTCATTTCGTGGGGAGGTGTTTCCATGTTTGGTGTCATTTTTTTGATATGGTTTGTAGAGGATCTCTTATCTCTTGCTGCATGCAGAGCTGATGTGATTATAATAGTTAATTAAATGTGGCTACGATGTCAAAAGGAACATTATATTGGATATAGCAATTAGTTTTGCTGTTATACAAACATTGTAAGTTAGTAGAGGACAATGAATTATGAAGCCGACTTGGAATTCATCTTTTGGTGTTAAGGAAATTAGTTATTGTTAATGACGGTTTTGACAGTAGTAACCTTGTAGAAATTTGAAGGGGAAATTTTGAGGAGTTGAGTCTGAAATACTTCTAGTTTATTTTGTTATAAAAAAAAAAAAAAAAATTTCTTATGTTCCTAATGACTTGTTTGTATGTCATTATTTTTATTTTTCCTACGGATATTGTCTTCAGATCGTTGAAATGGAACATTTTATGGGATCATGTCCGTTATGCTGTGGAGATTGTACTTATAAATTTTTTCGCTGTTTTACTGTTTATGTTATTTTGCTTGGATCATTAATAATGTTTGGGGGATGTGAATAATAGTGTCTGTTAGTTGGTTATTTGATTTTGATCCCCCAAATTACTTTTGCTTGTCAAATTTCTAGTTAGCGCACATTACCTAGCTTAAAACCTTATGGTTTTAGTTTCATTTTATGTTTGTTATATCAGCTGTTGATCTTGTAGTGGTTTTTTTCTTTTTCATTTCTCTCAAAAGGTGCATCCGTATAGAGGAGAACTCATAGCTGATAGTGCGACATATGTTCCTGAAAAGCTTAATGGCATGCAGCAAAAGGACTTTTCTGTAGAATTTCAAACAAATGGTGACCAAAATACATGCCTCATCTGTTCTCTTGGTGGGAAGCTCTTGTGGGTAACCTTTTTTGTGACATTTTGATTATTGCAAGTGTCTTTAGTATTAAATGATATGGAAAATCTATTTTTTCCTTTCATTTAGGAGAAACGATAATTATTAAGTCTGAAAACTGATTATAAAGTGCAAAGAATCTGGGGAGAAGGCACCAACCTTCATCCAGATACAAATAGAGCCAAAAAGGCACATAATCGAAGTTAGTAAGACCAATCACCCCACTAAAGTTACTACATCAATTGGTCTATGACTCTATAACATGCAGTGGAAGGCCTTTCTGATGGAGCTTTTTGACGCACCCTACTTTCGTTTTTTCCACATCTTCAACCTCTTCACTCGTACAGCATCCAAAATCTGCCTCTCTTTCACTGAAGCCCACCTTAAGCGCACGAGATTGTATCACTCAGCACTTTTCCTAATCATGAGGCCAATATTTTTACAATAATTTTTTGTAAAGCTGGACACCTGACTAACCTGCCTAAAGTCCATTATGTTTGCTGGACACCGGACTAGCTGGCCTAAAGTCCTTCACGTTTGCTGACACTGTGCCTTTTTAGAATGAGGCATATGTAATGGTTGTACTTTGTATGTGGTTGTACTTGCACATAAATGAACACAACAATATGGAACTTTTTTTCTATAAGCTTCATTGGCATTTGCTTCTATAATGTGTTTTTTGTTCTTAGAATTTGTATTCAATTTCAGGTGCTGTAATGGAAGAGGATGCAGGACAAGCTACCATCTTTCTTGTCTAGATCCTCCTATAGATGATGTTTCTCTTGGACTTTGGTACTGTCCCATGTGTGTTAGAAAAAAGTTAGAATCTGGTATATATTCGCTGTCAGAGGGAATAGAGTCAATCTGGGATGCTAGAGAAGTAGAGGTATCTGATGTTGATGGTATGCAGAAATTATGAGACTTAAGCTTCATCTGTGTTTTGGATTATTTTCTTAAGTTTTTATTTTGTGTTGCTGATCGTTATATGTATGATGACTATTCTTAATAACAAATATCTGGTCCTTTGTTTTTCCTGGTTGACCTGTAGGATTGCAAAAGAGGGAGGAGTTCTTTGTTAAATACAAAGGTCTTGCTCATATTCACAACCAATGGGTACCAAGAAGTACAGTTCTTCTTGAAGCTCCTACCCTTGTGGCAATGTTCAACCGAAATAACCAGGTCCGTTTTTTCAACTTCTGTTTTGGTGGACGTGTTCTGTTATACTTGTTATGTCTATCAATGGAAAATGTGAAACACCATGGGATTGAGATGCCTTTGCATGGATTCAAATTTCTTTTTCTTCAGAATTCAGATCATACACTATAGCTTTGTTAGATGATTTTTCTTTACCCTTAACCTTAAGTCAAAAGTGACCATTACACACCAGCTGCTGTTGGGGAGTTCTAAGATAAATAATTCTTCTTATATTAAGCAGTTTCTTTTTGTTAATTAATGTTCTTCAGGTCACAAGGTGGAGGAAAGAGTGGACAGTTCCACATCGGCTGCTACAAAGGAGATCATTAATGTCTCCTAAGCAGCGTGAAAACTATCTTGGGGAACATATTGGTGATAACTTATTTTGTCAGTATGAATGGCTTGTGAAATGGCACGGTCTTGATTATGATGATGCTACTTGGGAGTTAGAGAATGCTGCATCCTTTGATTCACCTGAGGGTCAGGGCCTTATAAGAGATTATGAAAGGCGCCGGCAGAGGGTGAAGAAGTCCTCTGAAACGGATAAGGTGCCAAAGGCATGAATTATATGAAACCTGGTTCTAGATTTAAATGCATTTCTGTTTGGATTAGTATGTTGAAGGTGTCAGTTTCCTCCACGTTTTACTTGTTTACCAATGAGCTCTAAATCTATCTTATTTGTTTTGAATTAATTTGGAATTGGGAAGTGAGAAGGAACTTACTGGTCGTCTGGTCTTAAGCATGGTTGAAACCGATAATGGAATCTCCAAAATTTGAAGTGTAAGATATTTCGTTTCCTTCTTTGATTGGTGGAGGGGTTCTTTATCATTTTTCTTCGAGTACAAAAGGCTTCTCTGTGATTGATTATAATGGATAACGATCTGTCCTCTCTGTGTGCGCTTTAAAGGATGCTATGTGTTTTCAAAGTTCAAGGGTGGGCTGTCTTGATTTCATGTGTTTTCTGCTTGTTCACTGTCATTTAAGATTTTGAGTATATAGAGTACTTTTGTCTTTTATAAAATTGATTATCCTTGAAGGGAACTTTTTGAGTCTGCATTTTGTTCATATGAGTATGCTTATGACTATACGATTCTTCTGTTGCTAATGCTAGCATTATCTGCAGATACTTGAAAGCAAAAAGTGTTTAACAGTGAATTTATCCGAACTGCTAGCTGGAGATTCATCCAGATTTGATAATTCATGTCTAGAGAACATTAACAAGCTACGTGAGCTGTGGCACAAGGGTGAGAATGCTGTTGTTGTTGATGATAAGGTAAGCTTAGTTTACTTTAGACAGCTGTTTAGATAACATTTTGGTTCACCATTAACATTATCTTCACGTGGGGTTTATGATTCGATGTTCATATATATATTCACATACAGTTGATCTGTTCTACTTGTTTGCTTTCTTGAGAAACAAATTTTACTGTTAAGCAAAATAGAGGACCACAGTGGTGGAAAGTGTTGTGATTTACGTCTCAAAATTAGGATGATGCAGAAATTAGGCTTGCGTTACCTATTTCGTTTTGGTGGCCTATTTGGGTTTGGATTTGACGTCTTGGTTGGCTTACTTGTTTGGTGGAGAGATTTTGTTAATTACCTATTTAATTAGGATTTGGATTTACTTCCAATTAGGATTAGGATTCTCATTGTAACCCAAGTCCTATGCACTATAAATGGGAGTCGGGACCTTAGAGTTAGTTTATTTGGTGTGCCTCAACATTAGCTTGGAGAGTTTTCTCTCATTGGGTTTTTGGTGGAGGTCACTGTTTGGAGTCATGAGTGTGTGGCAAATTCAAGGCTTATTTGTTTTGCAATTTGGTGAGAGTCAATTTGTGAGTTTAAGAGTTCGAGAACAATTTGGGAGAATCTCCTCCTTTTGTTTTGGGTTCTCTACTCGTTTGGTTTAGGGTTTATAATTTGTGGGATTTGGGTTGTGAGAGTTTAAACTCTTTTGTAATCTCTCATTGTTTAGTGAAATTCCTCGCCGTGCTTTGCCGTGGATGTAGGCTGTACACTGAACCACATTAATCCCTTGTGTTCTTATTTTGAGATTGTTTACTTCTCGCTTTCACCTATGACGTTGATATTTGGTACTTTTGTTAGAATTTGCTTCCTCTTGCGCTTAAAAGTACAACAGAAAGATGTCCACTTCATCAAATCATAAATGAAAATAGAACAATATTATTGATCAAAGAGAAAAATGTGTTTAATAACTGAGTAATGCTATTCATACCATGTTTTTGTACCACATTTTCATACCACCTTAGGTTGCATTTGATGCGGACAGCCACATCATTTGAATTAATCAGATTTTTAAATTTAGTTCATTATTTAATAAACTAATAATTAAGAAAAACTAATTAATTAAATGATGATTGTGGTATATGAGGAGTCTTTCTCCTTCCTTTCCTTGGGTTTTGCAAATTTTTCAAATGATGTGGCTGTCCACATCAGATGCCACCTAAGGTGGTATAGAAATGTGGTACAAAAACATGGTATGAATAACATTACTCTTAATAACTCTCTAGGACTCTTTAACAATTGTGTCGAGCCTGTTTTATTTGTGTTGGGTTGGTGTCATGCTTGTGCTAGCACGGCGTATTTTACATCTCTAAATAATTAAAACGGCTTTCCAATATGCTAAAATTAAGGATAAGGGGATATTCCAAAAGTCAGGTGAAACCACTCTGGTACATAAAATCTCAACCACCTCCCTACTATAGTTTTCAAAACTCATTTTTGTTTCTTTCCATACAAATCACCTACGGCACTGTTAGCACACTTCAACTTCCTAAAGCTTTTGCCTTCTTCCCCCCACCAAAAGCCTTGTGTTTCTCACCAACAAGAACTATGCAATTGGTCATTGGAGGAATAGATGATCAGCACATTCACTCCCTCCATTACACCATGGGAGAAGAAGACACTTCAGTTCTCTGAATCAAGTCACTTGTATCAGCTACCGTGAACAACTGTTAAAGTATTTTTACATTAAGAGGTACTCTAAACCTTCCAAATTATAGGAAAGGGTTGGGTATAGAAAGAGAAGGATTTTCACATAATTTTCTGACATATGATTACGGTAAACAGGTTTACATTTTAATTTTCCTACTCTGAAATATGTTATTGTTCTTTTAACTGAAAAGGGTTTGATTAGGGACTTTAGAATGATTTACTATCTTGTTTACGCTCGTCTATTAGCAGCAAGCTGGTGCTTAATGGGAATTAAAGAGAAAACATCTAGTTTTTAGACTAAATCTAGACCTGGTAATGTTTTATGAAGTTGTGAACTTCTTATTAAAAATTGTGTTTTTGCAGGAACGAATTGCGAAGGTGATTGCATTTATTCGATCTTTGCAGTCTGATGCCTATCGGCCTTTTCTGATCATCTCAACTCCGTCTACACTTTGTTATTGGGAGAATGAGTTCTCCCGTTTGGCACCATCTATGAATGTTGTGGTTTACAGTGGAAATAAAGATTTACGGAGAAGTATTAGGTCAATAGAGTTTGATGAGGCTGGTGGCATTTTTCAAGTACTTGTTACCTCACCGGAGGCTATTATTGAGGTATCTTTTTCGCTGATTGTAGGATCCCTTAGACAATAGTGACTTAGTTGTTAAACTGTCTTTTTATTGTGCAGGATAAAAATGTATTCGAACACATACGATGGGAAACTATCATAATTGATGCGTGCCACCACCCTACAATCTCTACACAGTTGGTGCAGATGAAGATGCTACGTACCCGTAAGTGGCTTCTCCTGGTCAGTGGAGTACTTAAGGTTTGTATTTTATTGTCCTCTATGTTAGTATTTTTCTTTTTATTTTTTGGGTGGTGGTGGAGATTGCTTTCTACTGGCTGGCTTATGCAAGGCTAAATATTGCAGGAGAGCAGTGCTGAGTACCTCTGTTTGTTGTGTCTCCTTGATTCTGAAAGCAATTCACAAACTGGTGATCACTTCCTAAGCAGTTGCAGTGATATTATTGTTAAATTAAAGGACAGGCTTTCAAGGTATATTTCTCATGGATGCGAACCTGACTCTCCCAGGTTTAGGGAGTATTGGGTTCCTGTACAGATATCAACTGTCCAGCTAGAGCAGTACTGTGAAAATTTACTGTCAAACTCCACATTAGTTCTCTCATTGGCAAAGAACGATCGCGTTGGAGCAGATATAACTTTATCAAAAAAAGCACTCTATGATGCAACTCTAGCTGCTCGGAAGGTTGGCTGGTTGCACTTTTCTCTAGTATGATGGTTAATCATTGCATGACTTCTGTGTCTTTTCATCATCTACTGTAACTTTTGAATTCCATGTTGTCATAGATTGTCATACTTTTTATTTGGTTTGATAACACCATCCCATCATCTCATTTTGATGTTTCTATCTTTACTATGTTGGCGTGGATATGGTCCTTGTTGTACATACATACATACATACATATATATATACATACATACATACATACATATATATATTTATTATATTATATTATTGAGTTATCCCTTCATTATGTTGATTCTGTTTGGGTAATATAAAAGATGTGGTTTTTGCACCTTTAAAAAGTTAACACTACTAATATAGTTATCTTATGGAAATTTAGTAATTTTAGTTTCATTTAATTTAGTGATTTATAATTCAAGTTGTTTGTATATCGTATACATATCACATCATACACATATTGGAATTAGAAAAGATCTGTAATGACATGTTTTCATTTGTTAGTTTCAACTTTCTCTTCTATTAAGTTCGTTGGATTTTGTTTTCTTATAATTATTGTTGTTTTTTATTTTTAATTTGTGCTTGATAACTTAAAACAAAGGAAGATATTATTTGCATTTGTATGAAGTTTGACTTTCCTTGTGCTTTGTGCAATGGGTATTCAAAGCAAGTGACTTTCCTATGGTTTGCATATTTTCTTCTCCATCCTCCACCACCCTACTAGTTTCTAATTAAGTCGCTTGTATGGCATTTGTTGACAGTGCTGTGATCACCCCTACATTGTGCACCCACCCTTACAAGCCTTGCTTACTAAAGACCTTCAAGCAGTTGAGTATTTGGATGTAGGGATCAAAGCAAGTGGCAAGCTTCAGCTTCTTGACATGATGCTTAAGGAGATAAAGAATCAAAATTTAAGAGTACTTATCCTGTTCCAGGTACGTGATTTGTGGTAATATAATCCTTATTAGAACTGCTGTTCTTAGAATCTTAGTATTATTTGTTATATATATATATTGAATGTGGTAGTTTTGGTCTTGACTTCTTTGGGAGGTTGTTCCCATCCTTTAAACATGTGGAATAAGATAATTTGTTGATTGAGGATTAGCTTCCTATTTTTGAGTTTTTGAGCGTATGATGCATTTTGGTTGGATCATTTGTTGTTGCACTTTCCAGCAGATTTTTCTTTGTTGGCTCGGTTAATTGAGGAAGTAGGTTTATGTTGTCCATTTCGATGTCTTGTAATGCGTTATTATCTGAAAAGCAACAAGTTTGTAGGTGGCAAAGAATAAGAAGATTTTTGAGAATGTTGTGGGTGTGGAGGTGGTATTCTTATGGGAAAGGTGCGCTTTTGGGATTCTTTGTGGGCATCTGTAGGTTTGGAATTTATAGAGATCTCTTTTTCTGTTATTTGGTCAAATTCGAAAGCCTGTGCTTTGTAATTGTGTTTTATGCTTTCTAAAAAAAGAAAAAGAAGAGAACTGTGATTTATGTTTTTTCTCAGAAGCAGACTACTTGGTCACTCAGTTTGTTTTGTTTTTATCTTAAATAAAGTTTGCTTCTTATAGAAAAATCACATGATATATATAAACGGACGCACACACTAAATTATATATATATATATATTTATCTGTGTTTTAAAAAACTAGTTGTTAAGACTCGCCTAGGCTGTTTTTGGGGCGGGGCTATAAAGAAAACGCCTCTGCCCGGCGGGAGTGGGCTATAGACTAGCCTAAACGCCTCAGCAGCCTTGGTGAACTTAGTTTCTAATAGTTTCTTATGACTTTGCAATGCGAACTTGAGAACTAATAATAATAGTCAAATATTTGATTGCTTGGCATGATTGCTTGATTGTTTTACAAAGTATAATATATAATATATGAGTATTATAATAATTTTAGGTACCGCGAGGCTATCGCCTAGGTGAGGCAATCCATGAAACACCTTGGCTTCGCCTTCACCTTTTAAAACATTGATATGTATATATATAAGAAACAATATTTATTCCCTTGAAACCACTGCAGCACTTCAATCAGAAAAGATCGCCCAAAACAAAACATCCTGAACATTGTTCAATAATTATTTTTACTTTGCTTAAGAAACCACCCAAAAAATCAGCTAGCAACAATTTGTACTTCTGTAGTATTCAATAATTATTTTTACTTCACTTAACAAACCACCCAAAAAATCAGCTAGCAAACAACATTTCCGTCCTCACACAGCTTGAGCGACAAGCTCAAAGCCACCATCCAAGAATAAGTAGATGATCTCTAGCTCGCAACTGGCTCCGGCTTCCGCATTTGGATTTGATTATATGTGTTCTCTCTGCCATGTGCCTCTAGATGCACTTTTTCTCTCCAAATAAAGTATTAAAGATGAATGAGGATGTGAACCTGACCAGCCCTGCAATATCAAGCAATCCATAAAGTATGAATTTACTGAGCTTCCTTAATTTATCCAAGGGCCAGAAAAATCAATGATAGACAACAGATATATGGACAAGATATCTTTTTCTTTTTCTTTTGTTAAGAGCGTTATAGTAGGTCCTTTGTTCTGCTGTCATTAAACTCTTGTGACTCGTTAGTGTGCAAATACTAACACAGCAAAAATTTCTGAGATACTTGATGTATTTTGAGGGCACTTTAATCATATAAAGTTTGTATAAATTTGTCTCTCTTTCCTTGAGGAGTTTTATTTGTAGACAGGGATCTAGTTTTATCCTTCTCTTGGTTTATTATTCTTTCTTCTCATCTTCCTTTTTGGTTTTGTCCCTTCTTTTACCAGTCAATTGGTGGTTCAGGAAAAGCTTTTTCTCTCGGCGATATTTTGGATGATTTCCTGCGTCTAAGATATGGTGAAAATTCCTATGAACGCGTCGAATGTGGTGTCCTTCGTTCTAAGAAGGATGCTGCTATGAACATGTTCAACAATAAGGAGTTTGGTAGATTTGTGTTCTTACTGGAGGCTCGTGCCTGTCTCCCCAACATCAAACTGTCATCAGTTGATACTGTCATCATATTTGGTAGTGACTGGATTCCACACAATGATATAAAAGCCCTGCAAAAGATATCACTTGATTCCCAGTTTGAACGTATAAAAGTATTTCGCTTATATTCAACTTGTACGGTGGAGGAGAAAGTTCTGGTTTGTGCAAAACAAGGGAAGATTCTTGATAGTGACATGCAGAATGTGAGCAGTAGTATGCTTCTATGGGGGGCACCTTATCAACTTGATAAACTAGACGAGTTCCATGGCTTTAACACCCCAGCGCCTACTAGAAATATCTTGTCTGAAGAATCACTTCTGAAAGATGTCGTCCAGGAGCTCTTCTCCATACTTCCTCAGCATGGCGAGAACAGTGGCTCATGTAATTACTCTAAGATTTTAAGAGTTCAACAAACTGGAGGAGCATACAGTTCAGAGGTTCCGTTGCTTAGTGAGATGAAAAATGAATATACTGGCGAAGGACAGCCTCTTAGTTTTTGGACAAAACTGTTGGAAGGAAAGCATCCTCAGTGGAAATATTGTTCTGGTTTGTCTCAGAGGAATCGGAAACGAGTACAACCTTTTGATGAGTTACTGAAGAAACCAGAAATTGTAAAAAAACGCGGGAAGGTGGTAAATGGTAATGATGATGCACCCCATCCGAAGCCTGGATCAGAGGTGAAATCAGTTCCTGGATGCAAGGAAGGTAAATGACTGATATTGTGAATTGTTTCATTTTGTCATGGCATTTCTCCAAGAATTATGATGCAATGTCATGGTTCTGTAGAATTGTTGGATCCCATTTCTAGTTTCTTAAAACATCTTTTGCAGGAATTTCTGGGGCTGCAGCAGATAATTTGCTTCATTCTTTTCACCGGTCAACTGCCTGTGCAAATAAAGTAACTGATGAAATTCATGATTCCACTTCAGATAATGTGAATAATCCGGAACATAACACGCTTGAGTCTGAGGAGAGAAGAAAATTGTGTGATGCCCAGAAAAGTCTCCATGAACTTCTGAAGCCAGATATATTAAGACTATGTGGAATCTTACAAGTCTCAGTATGGATTTGATTTTTGTCTACAACCTTTTGCTTTCATGTTTTTGTTCATATGTGCTGCTGTTATTAACTGGTATTTCCATTAATACACCCCAGGAAAATATGGTTCTCTCGTTTAATGATATCTGGGTTACTCACTGCAGGATGCTGTCAGGGTTATGGTCAAACTGTTTCTGGAATATGTAATGAGTAATCACCATGTTAATAGAGAACCAGCGACAATATTGCAGGCATTTCAGATATCTCTGGTTAGAATTGCCTTGCTCTTTCATGCACTTATATAGCCTAACCTTCTCTTATTTGTTGTTGGCATGTTGAATTGCAAAGTTCTTTAATATTACTTTCCTTCAATAATCATATATCTTACTGGTTGTGAATGATTTTTTAAGTATAGACTTGGTATTCATGCTTTTCCTTTTACCCTGAAATGTTCATATGTTGTCACGGAATATGTTATAGTGACTCATTGATGAAAGAATAAATTTTGTTTTCCTTTGCCTAGACATAAGGTAACTTTTATAAATCCTCGGTTCAGTTTTACAAATAAATTTTTTTGAGAAGAAACTATAACAGTTTATTAGAAAAGAAAAGATAATACACAAATAAATAAATTTTACAAATAAATTATGCATTGTATGATGGTGCTGCACTCTGCCTAGCTTGACCTTATCAAATTCTACCCTAAACATGTTCGAGTGATGGTGATGCTTCTGCAGTGCACTTGATTTGCTTACCACCATGAAATGTCACTATTATTATGGGTTGAAAGGTTAAGTTTCTTGTAAAAAGTAAACTAAGGGTGGATATACTTCTATGAAGACAATGTAGTTTGAATATCACTAAATTGTCAAAACTGGTTCATGTTTTCATCCCATTAGGTGATATTAAGAATTTCTTGAGTCAAGAAAAATGCTATCGTTACTCACAGCTTAATTTTTGAAAGAAATAATTGTGTTTAAAATCCATATATCTGGTATTCTTTTTTTATTTTTCAACTAAGCTTAATACTCCACAATTCTTAAGTTAATTTGGGGAAGTTTGGAAATATCAAAAGAGAACGGGGGTGTTGGAGAATTGTGAAGTATTGAGCTTAGTTACATGCAACTAAACTCGAAATCCACATGGTATTTTCTTGTGATTTTCCAATTAAACTCAATACTCCACAATTCTCAAGCATTTCCTTCACAATGTCCGTAGCTGTAACTATGACTGTAACTTCGACCACATATTAAGTACTACCTCTCCTTATTTTTCTGTGTGATGCCAGGTTGGGGAACATCCTTACTTTTATGTGTGCATCAGTGCTTGGTTACATGTGCATGTTCCTTGGTGTTACTTTAACATTTTTTAATCGACTTTCTGATATCTATATTCCAGTGTTGGCTTGCAGCTTCATTTCTGAAGCAGAAAGTTGACCACAAAGAATCTCTTGCACTTGCAAAGCAGCATCTTAACTTCAATTGCAAAAAGGATGAGGCAGAGTATGTTTATTCGATGTTGCGGTGTCTGAAAAGAACATTTTTACACAGTATAGGGGCTTTTAAGGCTGTGGAATCTCCAAAGTTTTCTAATTTATCAAGTAAAGATGTTTTGAAGAATTCAGATGCAAAGGCTTCACAGCCAATAAATTCTAACTTGCAGCATGTCAAATCAGACATTAAAGACTTACCACCAAGTCAAGAATATTTTGCACAAGAAGATGTCTCAAAAAGTATTAAAGAAATTCAGAAAACGCTCCAGAAGAAGATGAAAAAACTTATAGAGAAGCAAAGCAAAGATAATAATGAAGTTTTGAGAACTTATGAGGAAGAAAAGGGGCGTCTAGAAAGAGAGCTTAAAGCAGAGACAATTGTTGTTCGATCTTGTTTTCAGAATAGTACATCAATGAGGACAGATAAGCTTAAGATGTTGGAAAAGAATATAGAAGAAAATAACAACCAGCTTGACCTACGTCTTGAGCATCTTGAGGCCTCACACTTGGAAGCAAGGATTAAATTGAGGGAGATAGGGAAACGATGGGTAGAGGAAGTACAATCCTGGGCTCGTGCTGAATTGTTGGATAGATCACCCTCAAATACACTTAAGCCTTGGTTGGAATGCTCAAGAACTAGTGAATGTCAAAGTAGTGAAGATCATGAAGATTTTGCCACTTTTAGAGTACATGACTTTGACAGCATTCTGCATAGTGGGACAGGAGGAATTAAAGCACCATCTCCAACTCCACAAAGTGTTCCTGCTGAAGCTGTAGCACATACCGTCCCCATTAGAACTGAGGAGACCCCTGCTAGGCCACTTGGTGCGTTACATATGACTTCTGTGGCAGCTTCATGTACTGATTTCATGGGTAAAACTAAAAACAAAGCTGAAAGTTCAAGTGATGTTCAAGAGAGTGTGGTATCTGTGAATCCTTGTGCCAAAGCACAAATTACTGATGGAGGTGCTGCAGGTAATAGGGAGCTGGATGTTCCAGAAGTTGCCTGTTCTACTGATGGCTTTCAGAAAGTTGTCACCTCCAGTCTTCCATTTCAAGAACGGATACCCAGTGCAGACACATCACCCATATACCATGGGGAGGTCAGACTGGATGTGCCCAGAGCAGTCTGTTCAACTGATAGTCCACACCGACCACATCCCTCAAATCTGCGTTCTGATGGGGCTGCATTAAACATGCCTGACAAAGAGGCTCCATTGGGATTGCCGGAGACTGCCTGTTTGAGTCATAGCTTGCAAAACATCGTTTCTGTGAGGGAACCTTCACCGGAAGAAAACCATGTAGGGAAGCGAACCATGCCAGATAAAGAGGTTGAATCAGGAGTGTTTAAGACTGTCAGTTCAAATGATGCACTAGGGAATCTTGTCTATGTGGATCTACTGGCTGGAGGACAGATGCTTGAAAAAGTGACGGAACATGAGACTGTCAGTTCCAGTCATGATTTGCATGACGTTTCTGTGAGCCCACCTCCATCTGAAGGACAAAGCCATAAAGTGATGGTAACCATACCAGAGAAAGAGGTCGATTCAGGAGTGCTTGAGACTGGCAGTTGCAGTGATAGACTGGAATATCATGTCTCTGTGAATCCACCTTCGTCTGAAGAAGAAATCCCTGAAAAATCAACAGAATATGAGCCTGTCAATTCAAGTCATGGTCTCCACAATGTTCTGCCTGTGTCAGCTACCTCTGAAGAACAAATCCATAAAGTGACAGTACACATGCCAAATAAAGAGGTTGATTTGTCAGTGCTGCAGTCTGTCAGTTCAGATGATGGGCAAGGGAATCTTGCTTCTCTGGTTCCACCTTCATCTGATGAACAAATCTGTGAAAAAGCCACTGAAAAAGAAACCAGTGAAGTGGATCTTATAGCGTCTGATAGTGCACCAGGGGCTTACCAGCAGAATGGAGTTGATACTGTGACCAATGGAAGCTCTGATCAGGAAATGCCCCTGGTAAATTCACCTGGAGTGCATCCTGTGGCCTTGGTTCCTGGTGGTTCAGCGACACTGGATCAGGTATTTGCTTGTTGGAATTTGTCAATCTATATGGTAGTCACCTTGTTTTATCTTGAGAATTATGACAAGCTTAGATTTGTAATTTTCCGATGAAAATTTTATATTTACAACATCATGTAAGTGATCCACTATTATATGATTATGTTTTGACTTGGTTTTTTCATGTTAGGAGGAGGTATTCATATTCATTGTCCAATAATAAATTTGTTCTCCAATAAAATCAGAGAGAGAGAGTGATTTAGCCTTCACATACTGACAAATGCTTACCTGGCCAGGCATACCAAGACAAAGGCACTCTGGTAGAAACATCTGATGCAGAGCAAGAAGATGCAGAAGCCAGTGAACAGCAGAATCCTTGCCAACAAGTTGAAAATACAGCACCCGAATCTGCTCCGACTGTAGCTTCCAATTTGTCTAATCGTGAATTGCCAGACATTGAGACTGTAGTGCAACAGCCATCCTATAATACACCTGATAATAGTGCTCCTGAGTTATCTTCAGCTGGTGGAGTCGAAATTCGACCTAGTGAAGACCGTACCTCTAACCAAATTTCTCATGCTTCAATGCATTTTGTTAAGAACATTTCTGATCTTTCAAATCAAACTGTTTTGCGGCCTGTCACATCCTCTACTGGTGAATTTGAACCGTCATTTTCAGACACAAGGGCAACACCTGTTACTTCTGCATTTAATAGTTTTCCTATAAATGCTGCACCCCAGGGGGGATCTCAAGCACATCTGCCTTCATACACTGACCCGCTTCAATATGAATTGGAAAGATTGAATAAACAAACAGATCATATGCTTAAGTCTCATGAAGATGCGGTCAGTTTTGAAGTTAATATATTGTTGTTTATCTATTCTTCAAAGCAAAAACTTGTGCTGAGGTCATTTTTGTCTTGAACAGAAGCTACGACTGAAGGGTGATTGCGACAAGGAAATAGAGGAGGCTGTTGCTGAAATTCAACGAAAATATGAACTTAGATCTCAGGAGGTTGAGGCTGAATTTCTCCTTAAAAAGAAGGAATTGGATTCGATACACCACAAAGTTTTAATGAATAAGATTTTGGCTGAGGCTTTCCGGTCTAAATGCATGGATCTTCGGCCATCAGGTGCATCTGGAGTGCAGCAAGGTAGGAAAACTTCTGAATTGCAACTTTTGAGATATCTGTTTTATCATTCATGCACCAATTATGTAGTTTGGATGGTAGTTTCATTTTCCGTGGAAGATCAAGGATCTTGATTGGATTTTATTTCATTCAATTTTCAATTTCATAATATATCAGTTTCATCTAACCACGACGACTACAAGTGAACCTAATTAAAAGTCAGCCACCCCCTTTAGACTTTCAAAGATTGTGAAATTTATTCTTTGAGAAGTAACCTTAAGGTTTGGACCTTCCTAGAGTAACCTCAAGGTTTGGACCTTCCGAGATTAAGGAGGGATGGTAAGAATTTTAGATTTTAAACTTCAAGCTTCAGATTCCATGGGTTGCTTGGTGGGAGTGCAAAGCCGTAGTAGATGAGGATTTTGGACTCAGGGATAGCTTGGTTCTGAACGTAAGCTAGGTCCGTCATTAATACTTAACTAGGGGAAGGAACAAAAAGAAGAAAAATGGCATGTTAAATGAACAATCAGTGAGGAGTAAGGTTAAAGGATTCGTAAAAAAGGATCCACTCTCAGACAAGGGAGAATAGAGAGAAAAGAAAAGGTTGGGGTGGGGAGAGAGACGAGGGGGAAAATTCAACTTGTCTGTATAAATAGTTTCAATATGATAGGTTACGAAACCACCTTTAGCATAAACTATGCCTACTCTGACAAACTGAATCTGCCTATTTGTTCTAAATGTATAAAGTTTATATTTTTTTGGTGGAAGGGGCTCTGACTTCCCCATCCTTGCAGATTGTGTGCTTTTTTGTCATTGCTCTTACGCTCCTTATTCCTATTTATCTGGCAGATGGGAATTCCAGTGTTGTGAATTCCAGTTTCGTTCAGCAGCTGGTTCAGCTATCTATGCATGATATACAAAGAAATTCTCCAGTTGCTGGTTCATCCTTGGCCAGCACTCCGGCAGCTAACCTGCAGACTTCAACTGCCCCCTTACCCAACCCATCTTCACCTGCGACAAATCCACTTTATATAGCTCCGCCTCAGCAGACTGTTCCTCTTTCAACTTCTCCTATTCCAAGCATCCCAGCAAAACTTCCACACATCAGTTCCATCTCCTCCACAGGAAACTCCCAAGGTGGGGGTATAATTCGTGCCCCAGCTCCACATCTCCAACCATTTAGACCTTCAACGTCCATGTCTAATCAACAGTCACATAGCCACTCCCCCGCAACATCTCCCTCACTTCCTCATATTCCACGTTCTCCAGCCCCTGGACAGCCATCTGTTCCTCATAATAGGGCCCATGAGCCTAAAAGTCCAGGGGATCTGTCAGCTCTTCGTAGTTTATCTGCTTTGGGGTTGCTTATGAGTATGAACTCTCGGTCTGGTGCAAGTCCAACAGGTAGTTCGCCCTCACTCCCAAATTTGGTCCCAAACCGTGACCCGTTGAACCTTTCTAATCCTTCCGTTACAGGAAGTGCTCGTGTGAACCCGGTAAATATAGGTGGACCCACTGACACAGTTTGTTTATCAGATGATGACTAACCAGTTATAAGATACCAGTTCCCATATTTTTAGAAACTCATTTTACCATGTCTCTTTTCTCCTCTGGATTATGCACGGGGGTTGTGACTTTTGACATGCCCTAGGAGAGGCAGGTGTGTCGTAATGCTGTCCTTGCTGCTAGGAGTTCATAGCTGTACATCTTGAGATGCCTGGTGTTCTAACGATGGTAATGTAAATCAAAGTTTGTTCGTACTCTGTTTCGCGCTGCAGCGTAAATTGGTGTCAAGGGCCAAATGAGTTTGTACAACGTTGTCGACAACAGTATCACATTTTTTTACATCTCACCTTAATTGATTAGCATGCTTATTTCCTAAATCCTTTGTTACTTGCTTTCATTTTTCGTAAGACTTAATCTGTTGCAATGAACATTACTATTTGGGTTTAAGGTTTAGGTCATTTATGCAGAGCTCTTTATTTATGCATGTAGTATTGGGAAATTTGGAGAAATAACCAAAACCTTAAACCCAAATGTGTAATAACCAAAACCATGTCCTGAATCTATCCGTCTCTGTATCAAAGTCGTCTCCAGAAAAGAAATTGTTTGGATGATGTTGGCAAATTTTCTAGGGTTCTGTTTAATTTGTTTCGAATTTCGGCAATCACTCTGATCTGCAATGCAATTCAATTCAACCTTAATTTGGCATTGGAATTTAGGGTTTCAAGTTCCATAAGGGAGAAGTCGAGAGAAAGGGAGGTATGTCAGCAGCGATGATCAAGAACACGAAAGAAAAACAGATGATGCTTTTCGTTTTGTAAAGGATTTTAGTAATTAAGAGTATATTAGTACTTTATATCAAAGTCTGGGCATAATTATGATAAGCTTAAATTAATGGTTATAATTCTATACAAGGTCTAGATTTTGGTATTTTTCCAAATTTCTCCGTTACGGATTCACATCCTGGTTGTGTTGTTCGGTACTTTGCACGTACGTGGTCATGGGTTCGCAAGATACTGAAGTTCCGAGCAGTACGCCGCAATGGCCAGCTCTACGTCCTTGAGCCCCTAGTCCAAGCGCCGGAGAGATTCGAAGGCAACCCGTTGTAGAAGTTGTTATCCAACTCAGAAATTGTGCAAACGAGTGGAAATTGCCACCATGCAAGGCCTTGTTCCTTGCTCGATGTATTTGGTCGACCGTCGAATAACTTCAATCTGGTAGCAATCTTGCTTTGGCTTTTGAAGGCGATGAGTTTCATGCGGTTGCTGTGCTTCCGTGACAAAAGAGCAATATGTCCCTTCTGTTTATGCGTCAAATGATCCGTAAACTGTTTGTAGACTACACTTCCAAACAGTTTGCGGATAGTGAGACAAAAAAATAGAAGTAGAATTAACAAAAGATTAAAGAAATAGGAAACTAAATCTTAATCCTTGAATAACTTGAAGTTTAGACAAATCTCGTGTAAGATATTTTTGTTACATTAAATTCATCTAAACTATGAGAAGTAGGGATTCAAATTTGGGTAATTGGTTATTGATGTGAAGGCACATTGCTAACTGTCAAATTATCATAGAGATGGGCCAGTCAAATTATCATAGAGATGAGCTAAAAACTCACTTCCAATAATACCGATACTATCCTCAACTTATTAATTTCCACATGTATTGTCCGATATGTGTGGGTTTTATTACAAAAGACCTTGGTATTAGGTGGAGCTTGTTTAGGATATTTAAACTTCTTTTCTGCCTCATTCTTAGGATGTGAGAAATTTCAACACTAACCACACAACTTGATTAAACTGAGGTTTTTGTGTAAAAAAATGTAACTTTTATATTATTGAACATATTACATATAATAATACTACTGAAGAAACGAAATTACAACCTCTATAAAAAATTGTTACAGATTTTCAATGTCATCAGTTAATTTGTATCTTAATCCATAATCTCTCATCACTTAATAATCAGTTGTTTCTCTTCTTCCCGCCACTCCTGTCATTCTTCCGCCGCAGCCGGCAAATCACAAAAGGAAAATCGTAGCGATCCTTTGAGGCCTTTAGAGCACGGCCGTCAGCACCAATTCATCTAAATCCACCCTCCGTGCTCCTCCAACCCTCGATTCTCCTACCGGGACATTTTTTTCCTCCCAATAGGGTTAGGGTTTCCGTTCTCATTGTAAACCAGATCATGTTCCTTTCCAAGTGCCTTCCCCAATCTTGCGATGGATGCGCAAACCGGTCTTCTTGAACTCGCAGAAGAAATACAAGTCTTGATCTCCTCCATATTCTTCCCAAATCTCCCATGGTTCTTTGAAGTCAAAGAGGTCCTCCTCATGCACATACTCGTCGTGTGGTGGCGGTAACAGCTGACGCTTAACCGCTATCTTGTAGAGAAAGAAACTGATGATCTGTTGGTCCGTGGGTTGGAAGCAGAAAGCATAAGGCACAAGGGGTCCGGCCATTGCAAGCACAAAAAGAAAAGTGAAGTACTGGTTCTTGTTTCTGTATATGTTTGCTTAAGTTTTGATGGGGAGAGAGAGCAAGAGACTAGTGATATTTATAAGCGCTGTGTATAGGAGTAGGAATAGAACAATCTTATTACGAATAGGAATAGGATGGAGGGTTGCTAAGTTACTTGGAGAGAAAGGAATTGGAAGTAACTAGGGTTTCGGAATCTGAACTTAATAAGAAGCTCTCCTTGTCGAATCAGGAAAGGGTGAGCGAGGTATTTCACCAACAACAAAAAATTCCCCTTTGTTTCTGGTTGACAACGGGACCATTGTCAGTGTCAGTGTCTAACTGAATTTAAAATTAAACTGTTTGTCGACTATTAACACGAGACAATTGTCAGTGTCTTTTGGGCCTATATTTCGCCGCTGATAATGAGACCGAAATACAAAAACAGAAGTACAGATGCAAAGTAGTTTCTTGCATTTACACTACCAAAAAAATAATAAAAAACACCCTGCCACACGGAATACTTTTGTCGCGTAAAACATTGTTTTGACGCCTAAAATTTTTTACGACGAAATTCCATTGGGCAAAGCTTGTTGCTCGAAGGTTTATCCGACGAGATTTTGAATTTGTCTGACAATGTAGTTTTGCCTGACTCAAATATTGACGACCATTTCATTGTGCAAAACTACCTTCCTCGGGCGAAGTTTAAATTTACAAAAAAAAAAAAATTTATAAACCTTATTTTACCCTACAAAAGCTTCGTCAAGTAAGCTTTATTAAGAAAAATAAAGGGATCTTTTGATATAGGCGCCTCAGTTTTGAATTTTCTAGATCAAACATTCATGCCTTTAAGTGATTTGATTAAACTTTTTTTTGTCATAATTTTGGTTATATATGCACATTATATTGTAACAAATTTCCTATATCTAGCCTTTTGATTACACTCTCCTCCGTTAGAGATAATTGTTAAAAAAAAAAAAAAAAGTTGGTTAGATTCAATTTATTTTCACAATAATGCTACAATTTAGCAATAATTATCTACGATTTAAGATATTTTCTTTCCAAAACAGTTTAAAATATTTTTAAATCCCTCAAAATCAAACGTACCAAAATAAGTTTTTCTTTTAGTACGTTAAGAGAAAATAGGATTGAGAATAATATAAACGTATCAATACACAATGTGTACAAACTAAAACGTACCAAAATAAAAATAATGTACCAATATTAACTGTGACATCCCACATCGCTCAGGGGAGTGATCCTTAAATGTATATTCCCATCTCTACCTAGCACGAGGCCTTTTGGGAGCTTACTGGCTTCGGGTTCCTTTGGAACTCCGAAGTTAAGCGAGTAGTGCGCGAGAGCAATCCCATGATGGGTGACCCACTGGGAAGTTGCTCATGAGTTCCCAAAAACAAAACCGTGAGGGAATGGTAAGCCCAAAGCGGACAATATCGTGCTACGGTGGTGGAGCGGGCCCGGGAAGTGATCCCGCCCGGGCCGGGATGTGACAATTTGGTATCAGAGCCTAACCCTGGCCGTGGTGTGCCGACGAGGACGTCGGGCCCCTAAGGGGGGTGGATTGTGACATCCCACATCGCCCAGGGGAGTGATCCTTAAATGTATATTCCCATCTTTACCTAGCACGAGGCCTTTTGGGAGCTCACTGGCTTCAGGTTCCTTTGGAACTCCGAAGTTAAGCGAGTAGTACGCGAGAGCAATCCCATGATGGGTGACCCACTGGGAAGTTGCTTATGAGTTCCCAAAAACAAAACCGTGAGGGAATGGTAAGCCCAAAGCGGACAATATCGTGCTACGGTGGTGGAGCGGGCCCGGGAAGTGGTCCGCCCCGGGCCGGGATGTGACATTAATAATATGTATCAAATTAAACGTACTAAAATTGCAAATAAACGTACCAATTAATGGTTTTTGTAAATTCAAACATACCCACAGATAATACATATGTAATGTATTGTACCTAATAATAATTCGTCAACAACTATACTTAAAAAACAGCAAAAAATATAAGTTCACAAAAAAATTGAAAAAATTATACGGAGCTTTTATGTTGATCACCAACTATTTGAAAAAGAAAAAACCATTTGGAAAAAGAAATAATATTAAATGTTTGCATAACCAAAAAAAAAAAACTATGATCGAAAAAACATATTTGGAAGAAGATAAAATATAGTTTAATTACTAATATCTTCACTAAATAAGGAAAAGTGCATCATGCAAATAAAAAAATAGATTTAAAAATTATTTTAATTTAAAAAAATAGAGGTGACTATTGGTGAAAGCACTTTAATCAAATTTTAAAAAGGCACAAATTGTCACATCCCGGCCCGGGGCGGATCACTTCCCGGGCCCGCTCCACCACCGTAGCACGATATTGTCCGCTTTGGGCCCCAATCTCGCCCTCACGGTTTTGTTTTTGGGAACTCACACGAGAACTTCCCGATGAGTCACCCATCCTGGGAATGCTCTCGCGCAATATTCGCTTAACTTTGGAGTTCCCATGGAACCCGAAGCCAGTGAGCTCCCAAAAGGCCTCGTGCTAGGTAGGGATGAGAATATACATATAAGGATCACTCCCCTGGGCGATGTGGGATGTCACAATCCACCCCCCTTAGGGGCCCAACGTCCTCGTCAGCACACACGCGACCAGGGTTTGGCTCTGATACCAAATTGTCACATCCCGGCCCGGGGCGGATCACTTCCCGGGCCCGCTCCACCACCGTAGCACGATATTGTCCGCTTTGAGCCCCAATCTCGCCCTCACGGTTTTTTTTTTGGGAACTCACACGAGAACTTCCCGATAGGTCACCCATCCTGGGAATGCTCTCGCGCGCTACTCGCTTAACTTCGGAGTTCCCATGGAACCCGAAGCCAGTGAGCTCCCAAAAAGCCTCATGCTAGGTAGGGATGAGAATATACATATAAGGATCACTCCCCTGGGCGATGTGGGATGTCACACAAATGTTTAATCTAAATGATATAGAAAAACTGTAGGGGATTGTAATTTTCCCAAAAATAAAATTGAAAATGTACATTCGTCAGGCAAACATTATTTAATATTAAAAAAATTAAAATATATTACACTATATTTAAATGTAATTATATTAATATCATAATATTAACAAAGAAATTATTCATTAATAATGCCAAAGTGTTTGTACAATTATATCAAAATTGAAAACCATCAACGAACAACTTTTCTCGATTGAAAACTGCTTCACTCATCCAACTGCTTTACTCCGGAAGACATACATTTCGAGAATTTAAAAATTCTCAAAATAATCGTAGAGCCAGTGTCACTTGTCCATTCTATACTCCAAACAATAGAGCGGATGGGTCAGAGCTTGATCATGAATTTCTAAAGTCTTGGAGTGGTTGCACAACTCGTACTTCTACTCCATGAGCCGTTCATTTCACAGCCGGGTTATGTATTTTGATACTTCCAGGTCGATCTCGAAATTGTTCTGAGATAGACAAAGAACAAGTGCATTTTTATAAATACATTAATTAAATAAGTAATTATCTCAAATAATTAAGATTGTTAAAAATACTAAATTTAAAAAACACCTTTACCTAGAGTTCTTCCATCAACACATGATTCACCTCGGAGGAGATGTTTCTCCATCTAAAGATTTTCATGGGGCACCTCATGCGGATTATGGCTCCTATTGCATGACTCAACCTTGCATGGACTTCGGGGTGTGCACACAAATGTCGTGGGTTGTATTCAACCTTGACTCTTCCTTCGAACCTTATGCGGATATTACACGATCTCGATATCTATAGGAAAATTGCAAACAATTTCAAAATTCCGAACTTTCCTAAAAATTTCTAGTAATTCGTACAAATTTATAATATATGCTCACTTAATATATATAGATAAAAAATATATTATTTTTCTTAAAATTTTCTAATATTTCCCTACTAATTTATAATATATCTAAAAATTGTAATTAATATTTTCCAAAATTTTGTAATCGTCCAACTTACTCTCGCCCAAACCCATCCATTCCTCACCCCACTTGTCCTCCTAGCATCCCCCACCAACTCATCCTCCTCAACCTATCCCCCACCCTCCCAAACCCGTCAACACCTCAAACCGTCCCCCACCTCCCAAGCCCCCTTCCCCCACCAGAGAGGCTGATGCATTGAGGTACATGAGGGGTCAGCTGACCCCCCCTCCCAACTTCGGTGAACGTCCATAGATAACTTGGGTGCTAACCCTCCGAACTTTGATGAATGTCCATGGATACCTTAGGTGCTGCCCTTTTAAAGATTAGAGTTGGCTTCATACATGCCCTCCAACTGTTTGATAAAATGTCTGAAAGAAGAATGGCTCTTCTTATTATTTTTTTAATAAATATTACTTTGTCAAAACAACATATATAGTTTTGGACCTTGAGTATTTCCATGCCACCAGGACAAGGTTATGATGGAGCTAGTAACATGAAAGGTGAGTTCAATGGTATTAAGTCAAGGATATTAAGAAAAAATCCTTGTGCTTTTTATGTTCATTGTTTTGCATATCAACTTCAACTAGCTCTTGTTGCAGTGGCAAAGGGAAATGTTGATATTGTCACTTTTTTCACATTGGAAAATAGTGTGGCTACTATTGTTAGAGCATCTTGTAAGCATCGTGATGCACTTAGAGAGCAATTACAAAATAATCATATGGAAGCTTTTGAAAACGATTGTCTTATAACGGGCCGGGGTTTAAATCAAGAAACTAGTCTCAAGCTTATTGGTGACACACGTTGGAACTCACGTTATGGTACCTTGATTAGTATCATTTCCATGTTTGGTTCCGTGGTGAAAGTGCTTGAAATGATTGTTGATGATAGTTCCATGGATAATGCAGGAGAAGAAAATAGGTCATTGGGAGATATGCAATCTTTTGAATTTGTGTTTGACCTATTCTTAATGAAATCTATATTGGGGGTTACAAATGATTTGTCACAAGAATTACAAAAGAAAGATCAAGAGATTGTGAATGCTATGACTTTAGTCAAGGTATGTAAGCAACAACTACAAAACATGAGAGAGAATGGATTTCATCTTTTGCTTGATCAAATGTCTTCATTTTGTGACAAGCATGATATTGAGATTCCTAGCATGGATGATGGATATGTTACTCAAGGGAGATCACGGCGTGGAGCTCAAAGAATCACAAACTTCCATCATTATCATGTGGAGCTCTTTGTTGCTATCATTGATAAGCAACTTGTGGAATTAAATACTTGCTTTGATGAGGTAAATACAAAGTTGCTTCTTTGTTTGGTTAGTTTGAGCCCGAATGATTCATTCTCGGCTTTTGATGAAAAAAAAGCTAATTTGTTTTGCTCACTTTTATCCGAATGAATTTATTACTTGTCAACTCTTGGCACTTGAAGATCAACTTGGGCATTATATTCTTGATATGCGTTTAAGTAGTGAATTTTCTCAATTGAAAGGAATTGGCAGTCTTGCAAAAAAATTGGTGGAGACGGGGAGGACTAGAGTATATAATCATGTGTATTTGCTAATTACATTGGCTTTGGTTCTACCTGTTGTTACTGCTTCAGTGGAGAGAACTTTTTCCGCTATGAATATTGTGAAGACTCCATTGCATTACCGAATAGGAGATCAATAGTTGAGTCATAGCATAGTGGTTTATATTGAGAGCAATGTTTTTTCTTCCATTGACAACGCATCGGGGACTATTGTAACTTGTATTGTTATTTGTTCTATAAGTTATGAATGATGGAACTATGGTTTAATTTTTAAGGTTATTATGCGTCTAAGAAAAGCTTGTAAACTTTTACATGTGACTCCCCGAAATATTCTAAGAAAAGCTTGTAAACTTTTACATGTGACTCCCCGAAATATTTTTCCTAGATCCGCCACTGCCTCCCACCCTCCTAAACTCGTCCCCCCCCACCCTCCCAAACCCGTCCCTCCCCAATCTCCCCAATTTTCCAACCTAAATTCTTGTAAAAATTCACACATACAATTCACAAAATCACAACATAAATTACACATTCATAATATAAATCACAAATTCTCATAAAAAAATCACACGTACAATTTTATGGTAACTACTATTGTAAATATTTTAAATTGATGATCTATCATCAAGATATTTTAAATTGATGATCTATCATCATGACCGAAGCTAAACTAGCCGTTAAATTTTGATTTTTCATTTCTAACCGTCGAAGAATTTCTTCTGGTTACCTGAAAGTTTGTTATTTGTGATTTTTGCCTATACAATCTCGTAGTATATACCAACTACATTGATGGTTGGATTTTCAAATTAGTTTCGCCGACTGTGAAAATCCTCGAGGGAATTGGGTATGTAAAAATGTCCTTAAACACTTGCTCGACAAAACTCTTTAACTTTGCTCGAAGAATTGATATTCTAAACCCTTGAAATGTGTACTCAATGAGTTTCTATAATTCCTTCAAGAAAGATTACTTAACCCAACGATATTTGTCGAAATTCCGTTAGGGCAAAAGTTTACTTGTTTAATTGTGAACTTAAATTAAATTAATAGTATACTTTATTTAGTACACAATAATATTACATCAGTGAACCTTTAATCACAGTCGGTATACTTTTCTGCTTCCTCATCCTGACAACATATTATAAGCTAGAAAATCATTAATTGTCTACATAATTCCAGATCACAGAGTGAACATTTCCCCAGTGGACTTGTCATACGTTCGTAGACCATTTTTCCATTAATCTATCAACGGTCACAAATAAAGATCAATTGAACTACTAGGTGATCTAGGACCTGGTTATTAAAAGACTCGTGATCATAAATTCTTTTTTAGTGCACCTCCAGGGCAAGTTATAAAGAAGAATGACCACCACCCAAGTGTAGTACTCATGCAAAAAATTTCCAAACAGATTGAAGCCATCAGAAGCAAGTCTTAATTTGACATTTTTGGCTCCATGACAAAATTAGGATGGATTTATCAAATTATTTCCACGTTTCACCATTTGCCAGACTAGACTATTCAAGAATTAGTTAAATTGTAAGGACTCATACTACGTCTACACGCACATCCATTAGACTCTCATACGGGTCTATGATTTTTTCAATTTTATTATACGAACGTAATCAATATTATTAACTTCATATAAACAGTTATAAAATTTCACACCACGATTTCCTAGGCTAATACTGTACAAATTAAATTCACCTGAGCTACATATATTTTAAATTCAAGTTGTGCCCTTTAAATCTTAATGGAATATTATTAGAATTAATATTGACGCCGAGATCTTTTTATTAGTTACAAATACAAAAACCATGAAACATAGGACTATTCTCAAAATCTTTAACACTAATAACAAATTCAAGGACCAAAGAAATAATTAACCTAACAATTGAATCAAGAAATAAGTTAAATGAGGAGATGAGGAACTTACCCAGTGTTGAACTAGAAAATAATTTGACGGTGATTTATAGTTTTTCTTTTCTTGGGAAAGCAACGTAGCTTTGTCGAAGAGAGTAGAGGGGACTTTTTGTTTTCAATGAATAAGGTAAAATGCATGGGGAGTAGGAAAACCTAATTACGTATTAATTTACCATTTTTACCTTTAGCCTAAAAATAGTAAAACAATATATAAGGTAATAGAAGTATTATTTATGAATTAAGAAACATATTAAGCCACTTAGTACTACGGTCTAGTGGTATTTCTCTTTACTTGTAAGTGAGAGGTCTAAGATTCGATTCTCACCAAAAGCGAATTTGAACCGCATTATTGCAAGCCCATTGTGAGGCTAATCTCACCTCCCTCCCCTTTAGTGTAGATAATATTTGTACAAAAAGAAAACATATTGTCACTCAGTACTACGGTTTGGTAGTATTCCTCTTCATTTGTGAGTGACAGGTCTTAAGTTCAAAACTCGTGGATAGCGAATTCGATACCAAATTAGGTTGCCCATTGTCTGGCTTAACCGAACTCCCCCTCCCCTTAGTGTAAAATATACCGTTGTACTAAAAAAAATATTAAATAATAGCTTTGGCAAAAGTTGGGTGGGCTATTATACCTACAATAAGCAACAATAAGCTCATATATAGATTATTATAGTTGTAGTTTGTAAAACTCCTCCCTATAGGCTACAGCCCATTGTAGTCGTGGGTGTAGCTCTGCCAGTGTGATCAGCCAGTCGCTAGAAATTTGATCAACTGGTCCCAGGAAAAGTTGGCTGGTCGAAAAACGTTGTAGGATTGAATGACAATCATGTAATTAATTTGCATTATGGTGGTATTTATAAAATTATTTTGGTTGAATTTTAGCTAAAAGTTTTCTTAGAATTGATTTAAACTGAAAGATCCCTAATCCTGTTTGTTCTTTTATTTGATTTAACCCTAGCACTCAAGCGTAATTTGGAATACTTTAGGTCCGGTCCTTACTATCTCAATAGCTAGGGTTATATCATCCCTTTCATTTACTACGTACTAATGCCATTATGAAAATGTACACACAATAGAAAAATTACGCCAATCTATTGAGATATGGTATGCTACAAGTGAATATTTGCAAAAAGGAATGAATCCTAATTTTAGGATGACCGACCCTTTTAATCCAGTCCATATGATGTCCTTTTTGGGAACTAGAGAAATGCATCCCAAGTACACCAATTAGTAGGTATGAGAGGATTAATGTTGGATCTACAAAGATAAATGATTGATTTACCTATTCAAAGTAATTTACGTGAAGGACTACCTTTACAAGAAAGACTTTTGTATTCATTGCCTCCCATATGATAGGTCACTTGAGGGAGAGACAAAGAAGAATAAAATAGGACGGATTCGAGTTATTTTCAGCATACCCCATAATACCTTAAACTCTTCCTTAGTTCTACACTAAATTGTAATACCTTTCACTACTTCATCAGTTCATCTACTTTTCGGATACTAAATTAACACTTTATTTCGACAACTAGGCAATAACAATTGCATAATACTTGAATCTCCTTACGAGGTAATACATCACTACTTGTAAATTGCGTATCTTTATTGTATAAATCAGATAATAGAAAATATTTAATCTATTTAATCTTTGTTTGAAAAACATCTCAAAAAAATAAAATAAAAATAAAAATAAAAAAATAAAAATTTGAATCACAAATTATTTAATCCTCCACATGAGATCATCTTCAAATGAAGGTTGAAATTTCAAACAGTTTCAATCATAAACCTATACAGGGAAGATAGTTATTCTCAAGAAGTGGATCTGTGTTGTCCACTCATAATCATAATTGGTATTTGCTTCCTTAGTAGGCTTAGTTGCCTTATATATGTAGCTTATGCATGACACCCTGCCATCACTTCCAAATGTACAGTTACATTGTAGGTGAGAATTTCAAACATTTTGATCTCCTCCACTCAAATGGTAGACATTCAAGCACTTTGAAAGGCAAATAAATTACTATTCAAGGAAAACCAGCTTAATTATATGCACCTCAACTACTCGGATTGAACATTTGGACAAAACCCACTTGCCGTCAAACATGCATTAATAATTAAAATACAAGCCATGACATATACTTTCCCTAGCAGCCACTTCATTTTTCACCTCATATAAGAGTAGGAACTTACAACGAGTACACCATCAACGTGCATGCTAACGATATATTCAGCAATATGTATAAGTTTTTTTTCTTCTATATATAATGTCGCATATTTGACATATATGAAACTACAATGACAATATAATCGTTTCATTTAAATTGTTCTCTTATCAAATGATAAAAAAAGGCAGTATCTTTCACATGCAAAAGTTGTTCCCACAAGCGAACGTGAATTGGTGACCCGGGACAGTGCAGCTTTTTACTCCTTTTAAGGCCACAAATACTTCCATATATATTTGATTCCCTTGAAAAAAAAAAAAAAAAAAAAAAGAGAGAGAGAGAGAGAATAACACTTAATCATGGTTATTGGACAGAAACCAGAAGCCATCAAGAATCCTTTGTGTGGGGTACTCAAGGCTTTTTTGATCTCCCGCCCTTAAATTTACTAGACTTTCTTGAGCAAGTCAACAGGAAAGGTAGAAAAGAAGGCTTTCCCAGGGAACATCCCCTCTTATGTTCAGTTGATTAATAGCCAATTGACCATATTCGAACGGTCCTTGGATTTAACATTTGGAGATTTTTATGTGCAATCGAAGAAACATTTTTTTATATCTACATCTCTCATCACGTTATAAAAATATACACAATGAATAAATATAGATGAATAAGATACATTTTCAATTGCATAACAGAATCTCACGTATTTTCCCCAAAAGTTTCTTGGTACGTCACATATATGCCAAATATGAACTTATGGAGGCGGGCTCTACCCCTTGTTAAAACTTAAGATGCATTGTGCCAGCTTTCACATAAATGATGTGGGATCGTTAAATGTTTATAGGTTCAACACCCACAATGTGAGAGGCAGTTGCAACAATGCGACATCCGCCATTTATAAAGACACTTTCCTTCCTTCTGAAGGCCATGTATGCATGTTACGTTGCCAATCGAGTGCTCACACAGGTGCATACAACAATACACTAATCTTTCTCACGTGAAACTCAACCATTTATCTGATCTCATCCCAAACCGCTAGGTATAGCTGAAATTTATATATATTTCTAAACCTGATTTAAGCAGTGAAACTGAAGAATGCATCTCATATCAAAAATTTGAGAAAATATTAAATTATAGTTTATATTAAATTGTTTCACTATTTTTTTTTTTTTTTTTTGTCAATTAATTAAATTTCATTAAAAGAGAAAGATATAAAAAGGTAAAAACCATCCAAAAAGAGAATCCAAAACAGTCAAACAAAGCCCAAGTCTACATAAAGAAATTACAATAAAGTGGGCCCAAAAGAGGCAGTCCATAGCAATACAAAAGCCAAAAAACCGGAGAACTGATAAAAGAAAACAGCTGCCTCCACCATATTAGCTGCACCATCGCCGCAAAGTTGCCACCACCTAGAAGAAGGACAAATGAACCAAATGGATCAACAGACGATGTGGATAGACACGCCATCCGTGCTATAAGCGCTACCATAATCGTACCAAATAGTGCAAAAAACACTTTAAAAGCAACTAACCACCAAGGAGTGCTGCCAGATAACATCCTTGAAGGAAACATCCAAAGAGTTGAATAGCAGAGGTAGATGGTAGAGGATATGTGATGAGGAACGATACTTAGAGAGAAAAATGACAAATATGAGATAAGTTCAGAGTAAACTGAAACAAAGCTAAGAGAACACTGAGACAGAGGCTCAGACCAACTACAACCGCGAAAAATAGACATAGCAAGGTAAGATAAGGTAAGAAAAAGGAGAAAAGGTTGGGGAATGAGAGAAGAGGACTGAGAATTGAAAGGTTTTGGCTACCACTGACCCCAACCAAAGGATGAGTCGGCCATATTGTCGATACGTTTTTAAAGGTGAGCGAGAGAAGGAGAGAAGTAAAATATCTGATAGTCCTAAATGGTTTTACTCTTAACTATACCAATGCCTTTTGTAACAAAACCAAATAGATATGTCAACTGTAGGTGATTAAGTTGGGATACAAATGGAAGTGTATATGAAAGTGTAGAACAATATTTACTCTCAATGTTCAAGTCCAAATATGATATGTGCAGAGTAACCAGCTAAAAGCAAAAGAATACTGGAAAAATGCATGCAGCGTAGAAAAGTGATCAACGCTAGGGCACCATCAACGTCGATCCGTCATTGATCTTATTTCTTTTCATCAAACGAACAAGAAGAGTCAGAGTCAACTAGCTAAAGCCCCCATTACTTAACAAACAAGGAGCCCTAGTCTCTAGCTAAGCTAGAATTCCATTGATTGTATGACTTATGTGTACGTGAGAGAGAGAGAACTGTACGTTTGTGTGCTGTAATTGCGTGTGTGTAATGGTTTCAATTATACCATTAATGGGCACATAATTTTCTATCAAAATTCTTACGTTTTCTTTCTTGAATTAGTTTGAATAATATGAACATCGCTTTAGTGGTCACACATATGTAAGCACCAATTGTACGTCATTTATTGGAGCACATCAGACTGAAGAAGATAGTCAAACATAATGTTGTGTCTTTATTCTTTTTGTTCTTTTATCGTCGAGAAAAATTTGATAGAACTAAGCAGAGAATTCGAATTCAAGAGGATTCCTTTTTTTTCACAGGACCAAACTATGAGCTAGTTGATTCAAATATTTTGTGTTTCATTATTCTTCTTACCAAAGTTACGGGGCCGGTTCAATAACGGAGGTCTAAGACGAAAATTACAATCCAGCCTTTGTAACTTAATGTGTCTATATAAAGTAATTAAATTCTTTAATGAGGAATAATTAAAAAATATCCAACATTTTTCTGAATTTTCAAGTTTTTGGAGCTTACTCTAGAGGCAAATATGTCATTTGCTGACATGACTCATTCAATGATCGAGTAACACACCCTTTAGTTTCCATCAGGTTGTGTTAAAGATGAGCATATATCTTTGGTTTTGGTTGAACAAGTCATGAGCAATCTCATCTGTGACCCTACTATACATACACATTACACATTACACAGTTTTAATAGTGACGAGGAGGGTTTTACACAATTTTATACTGCGTTCTTACTGTAATTTTGACCAAAAAAAAAAATTGAACTAATTTCTAGCTGTTTTCTTTGAAGGAAAAAACTGACATGAATCACAATGTAGTAACAATTGAGTGACAAGAAGTTATTGACCAAAAACAAAAAGAAATAGGAAGAACAGTTAAAATATAACATGTGTACAAATTTGATGATCAATGTTTTATTTTTCAACCCTTTTTGAGAAATTTTTAGTATGATTGTAACAGTACTTTATGTTTACTAATTTATGTAATGAGAAGTGTATGGACATTTATATATAGACTATATAAACTCTAAAGAAAACAAATCCTTCCTCTTGAATCAAGTTGTTCTCGTACTCGCATTATCATGTGTCATGCATCAAGAACACTCCAAATAAGTTTTTACCTTCGTTTACGGACATGCCAACCCCACTTAGCTAAACCGAAGTGAAAGAATATCATTGGTGTTCGATATTGTGTTCTATCCATCAGTGAAGGCATGGCCCAGTAGGAGAATTTTTTTATCGTGATTGTAACACGGATAGTACACTACGTGTTTTTATATAAGTGATGAGAAATTTTATTTTTTAAGTTATTAACTTTTTAACACACATATCCTACCATTTATATAATAATATATGGTGTACCACTTCAAGTACCGATCACACTGAAAAATTTCTCTTCCAGTAGAGTGGGTTGTGACTTATGAATGGCTATTGTCTGGGGCATAACAACAAACAATTAATGGCCTTCAATTCATGGCTCCATATCTAAGGACCATAATGACAATGACTTATCTTTAATGGGGCCAACTGAAAACGATTCGCATTGCTTAAAGTCTTCAAAGGCTGACAAGATCCTACTGGATATGTCCAAAATCTAAATTAAGCCAGTGAAGGGAAGAATATCTAGCTAACATCATTGTGTTCTGCAGAGCACCACATGAACAAAGCCGATACAAGTTTTATGCCACAGTAACTAAGTATTAACAAACGGGGATGTTACCGAACTCTTTAGTCCAATTTTCTAGTTCTATCTTATCTGTTCACTCTCTAAATATCAACACTACAAAAACAAAGTGAATCAAATTAGAATTCATTTAACTATTAGATGAACGTCATCAAATTTTTAGTGTTTGGATGAATAACATGTTCGTTTATTTGTTGGATTACCATTAATTTTAAATTTGGTTGATTTTGAACAGAATTGATCTTTAAAATGTGACGTCGAAAATACACTGTTCGGTTTGCTTTCCATCATTACAAGATGAAAATAAAAGCCAAAAAGATAAAAAGAGAATGTTCAAACGAAAAATTTGCTAGTACTCCTTCGAATGATTGAAAAATAAAAAATCAGTCAATTCCTCTGAAGCATTCATGTCAATTAAAAGAAGTCTTTCCGTTTATGTGGAAGCCGGCAACAATATTAGGCAAAGCTGCAAAGACCCAAATAAAAGGGATCCATAGGAAGAGAATTTGTTATAAAATGTGACCAGTATGCAGACACTACACTATATACACTATATTGTAAATTTACAATATGGAATAGTTTCAAAATCAAGGCTAGCTAGCTGCGACTAAAAGTCCCACTTTTGATATTCAATTTTGAATATGTTATAAATAGACAAAATGTTCGAACCTTTGTTAGAGAATGAAGTGGAACGGGAACAATGTAATACTTTGTTTAGTTTATTTACTTGTGTTAGACAAGGGGAAATGAACATAAAGAAGAGAGGCGAGGAAAACTCGTACTTTTTACTTTTGCATTATCAAGTTGAAATGACTTAATATGATGATTTGAGAACTGTGCTCTTAATTTGATTATTTGAGCAAAAAGTCTCGCAAAAGCTACATTTCGAATAGACAAGAGGCAAACACGTGACCATCAAGTAGATGCATCAATAAAAACCATGAAATATCGAAATGGTCCACAAGATAGTTGAATAGGCCCACAATTATCTCCTTGAATTCTTTGAAAAAATGATGGGATTCAACATCAATCTGATTGAGATGGTTTAATTACAAGCCATGCAAAGGTTATCATTTGCTACAGAAATATGTCTGTTCAATAACGGTTGCCCATTAGAGTTGGTAATAATCCTGCATCATGGTGGATCCTGGATAAGCCAAGGGTCATACAAAAGCATGTAAATTTTTGGACTAATGAACTTCTGGTTCACGACATTATGTGCTTTAGTTATCTTTATGTATGTACTAGCATATGGGAACACACAAAGTGTGAGAAAATTTTTTTATTTTTGTTTTTGAAATAGAAGGAGAGAGGAAGAGAGTGATAAAGAATGTGGGAGTGGGAAGTTTTTTTTTTTATTTTTTTTTTTTTTAAATTAGAGATATGTTATGATTACATGTAGGTGAGGCTTTGAAAAAAAAAACAGCAAAATTTGGTTGTGTGAAATTACATTTCTACCTCATATTTCTTATTCATGTTCTAATTTAATTAGAGGATTAAACTGGTAATTTTATAGGATTTTGGTTGACAATGAGTGTTTTATTAATTAGTAGAGATAATACAATCCACTCGATAAACCGCGCAACTTCTCCAATATAATGTACCCTTCAGGGTATCATTAGAGATAATGCATAGATTCCACATTATCTGCCTTTCTCGTTTCAATGTAGTATCGTTTAAACGTATATCTTTAAAACTAAACAAATTTCTACCATTTAGTATTACGGACTAGTGGTATTCTTCTTCATTTGTAAGTGAGAGGTCTTAAGTTCGATTCTCCCCAAAGGCGAATTTGAATCACATTACTATGGCTAGCCCAGTATAAGACTTAGCCCACTCCTCCGCTTCTTAGAATAGATACTATATTTTGTTCAACAAAAAAAAAAAAAAAAAAAAAAAAAACACAACAAATCGTGCTCAGGAAAAACTCAACAATTTATTTATAATAAAGGAAACTGCAATGTCACTTTTACAAGCTTCAAACCAAAAGGTTAGATAATGTAAAACATAAAATTGATTTAATCAAACCCATAAACTTTATTTCTCATTTCCACAATGAAGTTACAAACATCCAAATGGGATTGTGTCCATTTGACCAAATAAATCGAACATTAAACCATGTATATCCACCTGATCAGCCTGGTTGATGAAATTAGTCTTGACATACTTTCCTTTGAGTGATGCATGGTAAAGATCTACAAGTTTGATTCATACAAGGTTTTCCTTTATAGCGATTACATTCTTAAAGCTTGAGACTAAATCATTCTTTGGACCCTAGTTATAACTATGAAAATCCTGGGGTTTACCCTTTTCCATTCTATTGACTTTGTGTATGGCCACGTCCTCGTCTGTAGTTACTACCATGAGAGGATGTGGTATTTTTTTTCCAAGGGAAGCAACATTCACTTTTGAGAATCATTGCGTTCTAGTTGATTGGGACTGAAGATTTTTCATCGAGAGCTCATTGTTCTGTTCAACCACGAAGAGTACTGTACTGATATCAACTAACTGTACTCTATAAAACCGTGCTCGCTATATTGTTGTTGCATGAGCAAATTAGAGGCATGAAAAGTACTATTTTTTTTTTCCAGCATGTATGCTTCAGTGACATTATCCTCACAAAGTTTCATTTTGAAGTTGATTCTAAACATTGCAAAAATTTATACCCAGTGACTAACTTAAAATCCTAAATTCGCAAATTTGTCCAGTCATAACGAGCTCTTAGGAT